CTGAGACCTGCACTGGCCAGCCCCCCAGCAGCGAAGGCCAGGGCAGTGCAGCACCCGCTTGCATCCCTCCAAATGCATTTCCCCTCCCCCCCACATCCCCCTCCCCCGTCTCCTCACCTCAGCCACTTCAGCAGCTGCAAATTTGGATGAAAAGGGCCCGATCCGCGAGGCGCCCGCTCCACTGGCAACCGCACTGAAGTGATTGAGAACGAGCGAGTCCGTGGGCCCGCCCTGGAAAAGCAGGAAGGCAGCAGAGGGTTTGATGTCCGGGGTCATGTCAGCAAACCAGTCCAGCTCAGGGTCCCGCACCGGCCTCCTCTTCACTTGAATCGTGAACTCCTCTCCCAAGCCAGACTCCCACAGCGGCCGGGGAGCCGGGGCCGGGGTTTCCCCCGGCTGCTCCCAGCTGTCCCTGCTCCAGCAACTGGCAGGGCTGGATGTGGGGGGAGGACTCGGTTTGATGCTTCTGGATTCTTTGCTCAGCTGAAGGGCACCAGGCCTCTGGGCCTGGGCTCCGTCAGCTCTCGGCGTGCAGAGGCCGTTCCCCGAGCCCAGGGGAGGAGCAGGGCGGGCCGCCCGCGCGCCGCCAGCGGGCTGTGTCGGCCACAGTGGGACGGTCACAGGTTTCTGAGTCTCGGGCTCCTCGGACTCGCTCCAGTCTGGCCACTCCTCCACGGGCTTTTCAGGAGCGCTCCAAGGGCCTCCAGCACACTCCAGCCCGGGCGGGGCTCCGTTCAGGGCCGGCAGAGGGGCGTGTCCGCCTGTGGAAGACACACGGTTGGACCTTCCCCATAAAACTGACACTTCTACCTAGATCTCCATGATGCCCCAAGTCTATCGCTAAGGAAACAAGCCTGCTCAGGAACAGTCACCCCCAACCAGAACAATGTTCCACGCGGCCCGGTGCTCTAAGTGCCAACGGGGGGAGGCAGGGAGGCCTCTTGCCTCAGCAGCTGGGACCAGCTTCGTGCCTGGGGGGGCGTTACTGAGCTCGGAGCATCTATCCGACAAGTGACCCAGGCGGGCGGGGGTGGCAATTGTGCATCAGCAGGGACGGCTCCCCTAGGAACGCGCCAGAGGTTTACCTGGCGTTAAGGCCACGGGAGAGTCTTTTCTTGGCGCTCGCTCCTCGCCGCCGAGGGACGCGTTTCCAACAACGGGGCGCTGGGGGAACACACTGGGCGCGCTGTTCTGCAGGGGTTGGGCGCGCTGGCTGCTGCTAACGTGAGCGGGGGAGTTGTGCATCAGCAGGGACGGCTCCCCTAGGAACGCGCCAGAGGTTTACCTGGCGTTAAGGCCACGGGAGAGTCTTTTCTTGGCGCTCGCTCCTCGCCGCCGAGGGACGCGTTTCCAACAACGGGGCGCTGGGGGAACACACTGGGCGCGCTGTTCTGCAGGGGTTGGGCGCGCTGGCTGCTGCTAACGTGAGCGGGGGAGCCTGCGGGGAAGGCACACACAGCAGCTGATGCTCTGCTCAGAACAAAGGCCCAGGGAGATCCTCGTGGCATCCAAGTGCCAGAGTGGGGCCGGAGCATCGCCACGCACGAGCCCCTTGCACCTGCAGCACAGATCTGGGTCAGGAGACCGCCGGCCCCACAGGCAGTGCTCCGGAGGGACCCACGCCACGCCGGAGCGAGACGGAGGCTCGCAGGCGCATGCTCATAGCAGTCACGGCTGCACCTTTAATCCCACCAGCTACTGCAATTTAGTGGGGTCTGCCCACTCCTGGCCACTCGCTAAGGCAGCCCCTGGGGGAGCAAATCGACTTAGGCTCTACAGCGATCTGGCTGCTTTGCAGACCCGAGTGAAATTAGCACGAGTCCCACTCATATTCGATACTGGGCAGGTACGATCGGTCTCCCCCACGCAAGCATGTGCTCTGCAGAACACAGGCCCAAGAGTGACGGCTTCGGTCAGAGATCCCGCCTGCCCTGCGGGGCGCCCCTCCTGCTGAGCTGACCCATCTCCTCCAGCGCTGGCGCCACAGATGCGGGGATCAGCTCGGCTCCGGGAAGGCTCCATCACAGAGACTTGCCCCAGTGGGAGCAGAACCCCAAATGAATCCGTCTTACTCTGCATAGAGTTGTATACAGAGCAAGCTCATAAGTCGATCGCCCGCTAGCAATGAACAAGAGCTGCACCGCTGTCCCCCAAGGGAAGAATTGGTTAGACGGGTTTATTAATAACGTGCTTTTTATTAAGTAGAAAAGGAGGCTGGACGTGCAAGTAACAGGTCAAAGTAAAGAACTAATCCAAGTCCAGCAACACACACCGGCTACGCCTAATACTCAAACCACCGCTAATCCTCTTTCCTCACAAGCTGGGAGCTCCCAACTTGAGCCTGATGCTTCTTAATGTTCATTTCCCGGTGGCTGCAGCAGAGGTCTTAGATGGTAAAACAGGCGTCTCCTGGTACGACACAGGCACAAATAGAACAGAGACGTTCAGCAGATTGCAACTCGTTAAAGGGCGTTACGGGAAGTATTTGCATAAAGCACGTCCCACTTAGGTCATATCCCTTTTCCTGAACGTACTCCCATAAGGAATCTGGGGCCCATCACCACACCCCTCGCCTGGGGTCACTCCTAGAGAAGCGGCCACTGCCCGACACGGAGGCAGGGGGTCTAATCTGTTTGGCCTTGATTACACATCCACCTGGTGTCATTACAGGGGGGTTTGCAAAGTTCTAGGTTTCTGGTGCCTGAAAATATTTTGGGAGTGTAGTATTGTCCTGTCCCCCACCCCCACATGCAGGTAGCGAAGTTTTTTAAATGTGTAGGTGTCTTGGCATTTAGCCACCAAAGCCATATGGCCGCGTGCCTCCGTTTCCCCTTCCAACCAGCAGTGTTATGCTCCTGCTGTGAGGCCAAGCTCTAGGCCTGTTCACAGGTATCAGCTATAAGCTGCCCCTACCCCAAGCACATACAAATGTTGTCTCCAAAAACTGTGTGTCGCATCCATTTCCAAGGGATTTACCACTGGTACCAGTTCCTTGTTTTGAGCCCTCGGGGTTGCAGGAAAAGGCCTGAGATTGCCAGCGAATGTGTAAGAGGGCGGTGTTCACCGGCCCACGCCTTGTGTTTAAACCTGACGGGAGGCTGAGTGTTCACTGCACCTTCCACGTACCCAAGTGTGTCGTTAGCTACAGGCCGCCCGTTCCTTCAGGAAAGCTTTCCTGTCCCTGTGGCTCTGGGAGGGAAGGGTTTCCTCTGGAGTTGCACCCTCTACCCCCAGGGCTAAACTCAGTTCTGGGGCTTCTAATTCTCCGTCCCTCCAGGGCTAACCTGGGCTTTCATGGCTCTCTCCAGGGCTGCTTGTACTTCAACATCCAACCTTTCAAACCCCACCTG